AAAGTTTGTCTTCCAGTATATGACCTTCTTTTAATTATTTAAATCTATCTCTCAATACACACACAAGTTATTCACACTTCCTCCCAGACACGATTATGTTTGAAGGCCTTATCTATTGTTTAGTAAATACCTCTCTTTTCCTCTTCCAATGTTCTTTTGCAAACCAACATACGTTAGAGCAGACATCAAAGCTGCTCCTTCAGCAGCAGTGCTGTGGGCAGCAGAATTGCTTTTGTGAATATGAAGCATATTAAATCCCCCAACAGGAGAGACATTTCAGGCATAACAACCATTTCAGAAAAAAACAATAAGGAAATCTTGAATGCTAAAAGCTATTGCAATGTAAGTAAGAGCAGTTAGATAAGGAGCTGTTTTTCATCACAGCTCTATTGGAGAGAAATAATTTTGTTGCACTACTTCTTTCAAGGGTTTTACTCAGCTGACTTGTCCTACTGTCTTATTTATTCATATAAAATAAGGTGAGGATTTGATCCACTGTTAAAGAATAGCTAAAAGAAAATTTAGTTTAGTCTCTCCCTCCTGCGTACTGAAGCCCCGAGGAAGCCATACAACCAGAGGAGCATCGGAGACAAGATGCACTTGTGATTCAAGTGTGAGCTATGAAGCTTGATGAAATGGAAAAAATGCTTATTTGGGATTTTTGTTTCTTCTATAGGGAACTGAAGATGGAGAACAAAGCTGCATGAAATCACTGGGAGAGCTGAAGAAACCACTTTTTTTGCTCTTCAAAACAACAATAAAAAAGCAATTTATCTGTGTTGCATGCAGTGCTTGGTATAGTATCCTGTCCTGTAGGGGCTTCTATGGATCATTTTCTTGCCACTCATACTCAGTTTGTCATTTATCATTCATCTCCTAGCTTTGAAGTTAACTGAGGTATTGCATCTTTTCCAAGATTAATTTTTTATATGGAGATAATGGTTGTGACCTTCAGCATCTCATACAATGTTTTTTTGGTCATTTACTTAAGAAACATTTTCTTGGCCTTAGTATCTTTTCTTTGATTTTGAGGTATTTTTAGTAAAGAGAAATTATTAACTGTGACGAATTTTAAAACAGTTGAAAGCCTTTGGAAACCGCAGACTGAAGCCTGTAAAAAGTCAGACCTGTGATTAATTAATATTTTTATTACAATTTAATAAAATATGTTTCTTCTAGACAGGCTCTTTAGCTAACACTACTTTGCACATGCTAAAACGGAAATGCGGAAGCCAGATTCTAATTGCTACCCTTCATTACAAAGTGCCATAGGATTTGGCAATAATTTTGAAACAAGATCCAATAACGCTGGTTCAACTGTTCTTCACATATGAAATGGCCAAATCCTCAGTTTGTGCCACTCAGCATTTCTTCCTGAACTTGTGTTGTGGGCTGTTTTACAGCCTGCAGAATTGGTTCACCGGAAGATGGTCCTATGCTTCCCCCGCAAAAATTTCCACATCTTTGCAGTAAATTGCATCATAGACTCTTCACTGTTGCTAATTAAGTAGGAGACGAAACAGAAAATAATTCAAGTTGTACGTTTTTTCCTAAGAAAGTCAGGTCATATTAATGGAATAACATGTTATGATGATTTGTTGTATTTCTCCCCAGCATCCTATAAAGCACAGTTTTTTTCAGGCTTGAGGCACAGCAGCTTTTTCCGCTTACCTTGCAGTCTTGAGCAGCCAGGCTTCATTTGGATCAACTGAGCATAGTGAATTTAAATTTGGGTTTTCCTCATTTCCGTTCCGAATGACTTTTCATAACAGGCACACGTATCCTTGCCAACCATTTTAACAAGTGCATTTATGAGCGAGGTTTGAAGTAGTAAATTTAGTTTTAATTTAAGAGGTTTATTTACATTTATAACCTCAGGTTCTAGAGAAAGGTGAAATCTCGACAAGCGGGCATTAATGATTTCTGATTAAGAGCTTCCAAATTGGGCAGAATGCCTAAAGCATTTGGGATTTTGTTTCCGATTCCCTGCTATTTATTGCCTCTCTCTGAGCAGTTGCTGAGTATTTGAAACCCTAATGCTTCCCTGGCAGGTGCCCCAGGGAAAGACACAGCCTTCAGATCAACACCCAGTCCTCCAGGGCCAGTGGCTCCGGACTGCACATTAAAAACGCCAACAATTCCTTGCTTTCCCGTTCTTACCCAAACCAATGCAAAGGGACAAACTTTGGGATCTGAGTGTGTCACTGCTGAGAAATGGCACTGGAAGAAAACCGATTGCGAGCCCCAGAGGTGACAGGATTTCATCTCAAAAATGATGTGACATCACGGGCACGTTTGGTTTCAGGTGCGTGCTGGCCACAGAAGTACTTACGAGTATTCTGACCTCGCTGAGACACACAGAAAGCATGTGTGTATTATGAAAGCTAGAGCTTACATTTTAAAAGTTTTAAATGACATTGATTTTACTGATACTTTAAGATTACTTCAAATTAGCTTGGAAATGGTAGGTTGGTGCAATGCTACATATTAGACAAAAATCTAACAGACAGACAAAAGGTTACTAATGTTTGCTATTTATTTTGTTAAGTCAATAAAAAGTGCATAGTACAAGCCCTTTATCCCAATCCAACTCAGTAAAAGATTACTAGGAAACTGCAAATGGCACAGATGATTTTTGTTTGGCATAATTCAGACATTTGAAACCACCGATTTTTATATTAGGTACATCACATCATCACTCTTCCTTTCTCAATAATGAACATTACAAGGCTAAGTGATCTGCAGAAAATACATGAATACATATGATTTTTCGTTTCAGAGTATAATAATTGTGTTAAGCAGACTCTAAAAATACTATTGTTTTAACAAGTTCTAAGCTAAAGTCTAACTGTAAACTGTCCTCCGTACTTCCCAAGTTGCTACAACTTCTCCATTACTGAGCTTAAAACCCTTATTACACAATTAATCATATCCTGAAGCTTCACATCCCACTAATCTCTTTCCCACTTTCCAAAATTTACCAAAAACATCTGCAACCACGATCTGATTATTTCACCACAAACTACATCACTGAAGGCCAGATTTCTGCCACCCTTACTAAAACTGCTACTAGTACGTTATCTCGGAGTAGTCCCACAAACATCAGTGCAACTACTTGATGAGCAAGGCACTATTTAACATAAATAAGAGTGGCAAAATACAGTCCTATAATTAGTTGCTCTTACTCCAATTAAAGAGTGGTGATCTGAAGGTCATGTCCTGAAGAGTATCTCCAAATTTAAAAGGCATACATTTTGATGTGGGATAGTGGCCTGGCTCTTTAGTAAAACATTTTACAATAAAATATTTCCAATGTTCTTCTTTTACATAGAAAATTTAAAATAGCACTTTACATGAGGAAAGTATACATGTATAAAATCACTGGGACAATTACTTAGAAGAATTTCAAGCAAAGACACTTCATTTAAATGTAAAACACAACATTTCTCTGAACAAAAAGTTCCTCTGCCAAGAGCATTGGAGCTGGGTGCACACGGTGGTTTTATAAATACCTACACAGACACTTACATAAAGCAAGAGTGATCCTTAGAAGAAGGGAGGATCTGCTGTAAATCTCACTGACCTCAACGGGTCTTCAAACGAAGCCTGTTTTAGCTGGTTATTTAATCAATTAGGAGCTTGCTTTACGCATCCAGTAGTGAAGAGCTCTGGCCAAAAGCTCTCAGAGAAAAGGCCAGTGTTATAGATTATTTATCTTCTCGTTGGTTCAACAAAAATGATGCTGTATTCTTTTACTCTGTTCAAAATACCATCGCAAACACAAATGCACAAGGAAGGCAAAAGCCAAGCACAGTTGGACTGCATGTCCCAGCGACACCTTTACACAGTGTTTGTGGCCTGCCCACCATGGGACACAGAGGGATCGCTCGCTGCAGCTCCGTGGCTCTGCGTGGCACAGCACGGACGCGACCGAGAGCATCCACCCGCCCTTCCTCATTATTTTTTGTTTTAAAAACACATGCTCCTACGTATTGCTCGGGAGCATACTGTTTCACAGAAATTCAATGGACAATTATGTCTAATTAGAGAAGCCTTTCTTCAGGTCTACGTTGTACCCTTACAAGCAGGCTGAGCTGACCCATCATTTACCCTGAGGAGGAAAACCCCGTGTCTATCAATCATGGGATCCAACGTGAGAGTTTGTTAGAGCTTGTTACAACAAACCTGTACGCACGTGAACAGTTAGTCCCTTCCACTGTGTAACTAAAATCCTCATGAAATAAAGGTTTGTTGTAATGAGCAGAGCAAGGCTTTGAATTCCCACGTGCCTGTTCTACTGACCTTTAAAGAAAGAAGCTCCATGTTGGTAACATAAAAATGCTCTTTACATTATTCTCATCATTTTTTTTCCCAAATGAATCAAGAAAAATATACAGTGTCACTTTTCTGTACATCTTCAAAACGTCCTTAAATTAATGTACATAAAAAAGTCATTCCCATTTGCTAAAATGGGTGATGTGCACGGATGCGTGCACAGCCACACGTACTCACAGACACAAACGCACAGCACACACATGCACACACAGCTACGAGAGGGAAAACACATGCCCTGTGTGGTCACCTGCAATTCTGCTATTCTACAGCCAGCAAACTAGGATGAAATGTGAGGAACTGCTGATAACACACAGAGGAAAAAACCTGGACATCCAGTATGTGTGGAATTTTGGGGGTTGGTAACCTGTTGGTATGATTTCATCCCATCTATTACATCATGGCATCATGGCTAAAAAATTGCTAATATACTAATTATTAAAAGATTATATTCAAGGCAGAAAATTATAGCAAGTGCTTATCACTAGATTTCTCTTTTCATAAGATTTATAAGTAAACAAATTAGTTTTTGGAATAAAGTGTTTTTGACAATATACTGACTAAGGTATATCATTTATTAAACGATTATTTTATGTTCATTTTTGGTGGAATAATCTTTTTTGTAAAGGTTCCAAAATATAAGCAAAGGCTTTGACAGTGGAAATTATCACATTCATTTCTTGGCACACACACACACATACTTGAACTCTAGTGGACAATCTATGATTTTGCCAAAAACCCTGAAAACTATGTTAGTGGTCCAAAGACCTGACTAAAAGCTGCTGTGAACTCAGGGCAAATATAAAATAATTTCCTTTTTTTTTTTTTCACCACATCACTAAACTAATGATTGCAGCCATAGTATAATTCTCAAAAATATACCAGAGGAAAAAAAAATAGGGATTAATCTGAAGAATGATCAGAACCTTCCATTTTTATAGATGCACAGGGATTTTCACTTTCCTTCAATGGATACCAGAAACCACTGCAAAGAAATTAAGATTGCTGTAACAGAAAGAAGCTGAGTGGAACATCCACAGCTACAGTAACAACCAAAAAACCCCTGTAACGCCTTATCATTTAATTGAATTATCGCCTACTAAAAATGGTAATTACATACAAAGCAAAAATTAACTTAAAATTTAAGTAGCTAAAAGCAGTTCATGAAGATAACTGCTGACTGATAATTCTACTTTATTTAAATGAGAAAAGAAAACAGTATTGAATGGGATTTAGGAGTAATCTGGTCACTTCGTTCATTTGGTCGTGCAAGGTTTGAGCTGCTGAACTGTTCCAATACTGAAAGCTCTAGTCCACAGGTGGGGCTGGCGGCTCTTGTCCCTAGGGGAAGAAAGGAAGAAAAAAAAGCCCACGCAGGATTAGAAACAGTGCTTCACACAGGCAGACTTGGCAATAAAAAGAAATAAACTCAGAAGAGAAAGACGCTTTAAAGACCTTTCGCACTCTATTTCGATATTCAGAGTACACGAGCATCAAATAGTGTTTCCTGCCTCCAAAGGTCTTTTCCATCATCCCACCTCAAGGACAAAGATTGTCTTCCCACAAATTCATGCTGTAATTTTGTTTGCTTCTACAAAACCTGTGATTTTTTTCCCTTACACTGATGACCACCGTTCCAACCAGAGAAAATAGAGAAAAAACAAATTAAGGAAAAAGTAAAAAAAGACCATAACATAAATTCTCTAGTAAAAACAATTAAGTCTAGATTACTGCAGAGCCTCTCTGCGGGTATTTTAAGACACACTTACATTATGTGGACTGGTTGGTTTTCCAGCTGTATTGGATCCTCTCAGGTTACTAGGCCTCACAAGTGCAATCACCACCCAGGCCATCATTATCATGGCAAAGCTGATGCCATTGTCACTGGAGGAATTTGGTCCTGGCACTACGAACAAGGGAAACTCAAGTTATAAAACAAAGCGTCAGCAGAAGTCTTTTCCCAAAATGAAAACAAAAGTGTAACATACATCCAAAGGTCCCTTCCAACCTCAATTATTCTGCGTTTTTTTCAGGAAAATCTAAAATTTGTGTGTCAATCAAGTTTCCTTACTTGTCCTTTCTTTTTCTTTCAAACCCAAGCACATTGTAACCCAAGCTAAAAACATCAGCTCTCCAAAACAGATGCAAAAATCTGACTCCACTAATTAGAAGCTGGTGGTATTAGAGACAATAGCTTAAACTTTGTGTTAGCCTAAACAAAGAGAACATAATAATTCTAGCAAGAAGCAAGCAAGCTAATGCTCACGATTGTGCAGGCTAATGTAAGCAGCTAACTCTTAAAGTTATTTATTGAGGATTTGTTCAGACAAGTGGCAGTGACAGAGATGCCAATCTCCAAGAATGATCATATAGGTCATATTTCTGGTAACATCAAGTAAAACAAAAATGCTGATGAGACATATGGGGAAAAAAAAAAAGGCCAAGCAATAATATACAAAATTGACATGTAATTTCCAAAAAGAATGGCAGAGACTTCAGAGCATGGAAATAAAAGTGAAGAAAAATCACCTCCCATCCCCCAGACTGGAGATGGCTGATTAGCTGTCTTGGATCAAGAAAGCCTTGCAAAAACAAACAACCAACCAAAAACCCCAACACTTTCAAAAGCCGTTTCAATTAAACATAATTTCAAATAAAGTTATAACTAATACTGTCAACTGAAGTGCAAACAAATACACAGCTAATCATGGATGGTATTTACAAGGCTGTATCTAAGCCCCTAATTGTATTCATTGCATTTATTCACCCAGTAGAGCAATACTACTGGGCTTCTGTAGACCAGATAGCTTGACTGCCACACAGGAAGCCTGTGGCCAAACACAGAGCTCAACTCAATTCTCATGATTAACATCTTCATCTACTAACTAGATTTCTTTTTTTTTTTCTTTTTTTTTCCTGCTGCCAACAATGCAATATTTTATTCTATGAAATTATTAAAATTAAAGCACTTTAAAAATATTGCTTAAGGCAAATTTTCTTTTGCTTGCTCTTTTATCTTGGTTCCTTGGTTCCTGAAAGCACACTTTGTGAATCCAAAAGAAAATCTGTCACTGACTTTAAGCATTAACAGTTTGTTTCCAAAGCCTATTAATCAACGCTGTAATGAATTTATCTTCAGAACAAGAAGGGCTACTCTATTTTATTACTAACATTGAAAACATCAATGCCTGGATGCCTGGAAAAATTCCACATGCAGACTGATATCCATCAGATTTTTCAGTTGTCTCAACATTCGGTTCATCTCATTACTGGAGCATCAAGTTTGGATTATTCAGTACTAGTTGGAAGTTGTTATGATTTAACATTTGCTAGTTAATCAATACCCAGTAAACCGCTGGAGTTAGTCATTTCATTTGAAGGTTAATGCTGATCTGAGAGAACCATTTTCATCCCTGTCCTACTGGGCAACATTTTTAACCAAAGCTCATCTTTGAAGGCGGTTTCTTAAAAGCGCAGCTAAGACCCAGCAGTGGGCAGGTTACTAGGCCTCAGTAGGAACAAGACAAGTGCAATCACCCCCCAGGAAAAGCTCACAGATATTCCAATCACAACACAGATGTTCTGTGAATATGACCTTCACAAGGCAGAACTGGTGGACTGACATCCTTTGTCAACATTACATGAAAAATAAAAATGTATAATGGGAGTTCAGACTCTTCACAGCACCAGTGGAACCATTAGTGCTTTATAAGCAAACCAGAGCCCCATCTCTGAATGTCCAAAATAGAGACATTTCTAAATTCAAGAAGTTGCTAATATAGAGCAATTTTAATAAAAAGCATATTTAATTAAAATGGCATTTCTTTTAGTGATAGCCATGCAGGCTGCTGTGCATGAGGTGAAGGTATAGTGGAAACAAGGTCAATGAAAATGTTACTGTTTTAAATTCATTAAATTCTAACATAAAACTGATTCAGAACAGTATATGCAATTACATATCCAGGCTGCCTTCTGGAGGTGCTTGGAGTTTTGCCGAAGCACAGTATAATTTAAGGTCCACGTTTGCATGAGATTTAGGGTAAGTAAATGCTGCTGGGTGAGTTCATGCAATGGGTCAAAGAAGGGAGCAGAAGGAACCACAAAGGGAAAGCTCAGGCCCTCCTACCAGACACGGTTTCTACCTAGCCCAGGCTGTAATGCACTTTGGATGGAGCCAAGTGTGCTAAAACACATTCTAGACTAAGTTAAGCAGGAAAGGGCTAATTTAGCACAGCACAGCCCTACTCAAAGCATGCCGGATCCTAAAACAGTCACGACACTGTTTATACTATCCCAGTGCCGCTAAACCCACTTCTTTTACAAAAGACCATGTGTTTTAATAAGGACGTGAGATATTTCAGAGTCTGCTTCTTTAATTTCTTGACATATGGAGAAGAGGATATGTAAAGTCTCACATAGCTGGGATAAATCACACATTTCCAAGCCTCGCATCACGAATCAAGGGAATAGCCAAGAAGCTGTTACAGCTCCTGGGAACAATAATGCAGAAGAAAAACCTTTCACTACAAAGAACTCTGTCATGGAGATGACAAAATGATCAGCTGAGACCAGCTTATGGACAGAGAACAGTTGACGGAAGCTGAAACCAAGCAGGTTTGGAAACATGCTAATAGGCAGAAGAAACAAAAGAAATCTCTTATTTCACATGCACGGTGGTTTTACCTATAATTGATATTTTGCAGGTAATTCAGGACCATTTTTTGATACCTTGTAGACACAAGGTTGTCCTACAAAAGCGCCAGTGATATTTTCTATTTCTTCCAAATGGCTAAGAAATTGTCCCATTCTGGCCTCAGAGATGAATGTCCTTGCCATCCTCCATGTCAGCTACTGCAAAATCTGGTTATTAAACTTCAATACTTTGAAGATATCAACTATGACAGAATGTAACCTATGTTACTGAGCCCAGCACAACTTTTAATCTCTAACTTGGCTGTTCAAAGAACAATTAATTTAGTCCAATATCTTTATTTTCAAAGTAGCTGGTTCTTTGGGCTCAGCACACCTCTATACTCACATTAGTCTGACTGAAGTCTGTGGGCAGTTCTTCCCCTGAGGTTACTGGGAACAAAATTTTTACCAAGGCTGAGTTATCTCTGTACAGGAAAAGGCTCTAAGAGGCAGCCCTCAAACTGTGGGACGGGCTCCCGTGGGAGCTAATGACCATAGTTAATCCGCTTGTTGGACCGGGTACAAGACATAAAATCTTTGGCTTGCCTTCTCCTACAGAAAAGGAGAGTGATGGGTGCTTTTAGTAGCTGCAAAATAGCACTAGGCCACACAAACTAGTCTTGTCCCCGAGACAGCCTGGAAGGGAAAAGAAGTTTTATGTGACAGATGTTTGCCACTTCAATCCATGTTCTACTAGAAGACTGTCAAAGATACTAAAATGACGAGGTTGGTAAAACCCATTTCTGAAGATTGAAAGTCAGCCACCATGCAAGCAAAATTTTAACAATATGAACATTAAAATAAATAAATGCCCTTGTTAAATGAGCCTAGTTCTCCTCTTAAAGTGCTGTTTTTCATTCCTCTGCATTCAGAATGAGTGTTGCACTCTAAAGGTAAAGAGGAAAGACTGCCTTTTTTCTACTGCAAAAACGCATCCCATAAGTGGTTTCTGTCTCCTCACACGGTAGGGAGATCTCCCTCGGCTCCCCTCAAGCTTTTACTGTGTAGCATCCGCATGTGGAAAGGCAAAAACATGCTCTGACATGTGTCTTCTTTCCACAGTATTTCTAGCCCTTCCTGATCTCTGACAGAAAAGAAAAAAAAGAAAAGCAGGAAACACTATGAAGAGAGAAGCGTTTTACAGATGAAGCAACAGGGAAGAGAAAGAGCCTATGGGGCCCTCAGTAGATAATCCCTGCGGAGCTGACTTTCTCAAAGGCATGGATAGGGAAACTGAGGAGAGCCAAAAGGAACCAAATACAGGAAGGAAGAAGGGAATTACCAGAAGAGGGAGGGAAAAGCTGGCAGACATTTCACGGTGTTAGGCCGGGCTGCTGTGACTCTCCTACATGAGTACAGCTCAAGGTGAATCACCCATTCATTTTAAAATTCATAAAAAGCTGGAAGTAGGGCAGACAGCGTTTAGGACAGTAATTTCTAACTGTTAATATTACAAACTACTAGTGTATTTGCAAAAGTAGAGTTGAAAACATGAATGTAGTAAATCCAGGTCAGACCATCCGAGGGTTGCTAAAATATATATATATATGTAAAGGTGGTGCCCTCTAGTTCCCTTCCACACAACAGGCTGCCTTGGGAGGGCTATGAGACATCGGAGCAGCTCAGCCTGGGATCCTCCCTGCGCTGGGTGAACTACTGGTGTTGCAATAGGAGCACATTTCAGAGAAATCCTCCTAGCTCCACTACCCTACATTTGTATTAGACAGAATTCAGAATTTTTTATTCCTCATACTCATACACTTTTATTCCTCATTCTCTAAGATCTTCTGATGCGTTGCACATAAAGAGTCCCAACAGAATATTAAATGTGTTGCATATTTAGAACCTTCGGCCTCATTTCTCCAAGTCATCTGCTGAAACACAGGGAAGAATCAATGCAAGTGCTATAAGCAGATATCCTGAGGGAGAACCAGCAGTGGAACCACCATCAAGTGCAGCACACAAAAGCCCTCTGAGGTGGTGCTCATATGCTCCTGTATGTAGAAATACAAATCTAAAAGCAGTGGAAACTCTGGACAGGAAACTCTTGGCATTACAGTCACCAAAACAGAATGGTGCTAACAACAGTAAAAAAGAAATTAGAGATATCATAAAATTAGAGTAAAATATGCACGAGAGTGCCCTATGTACAATGGGGTGCTACTGTTTTTATCTGGCTCCAAAAATCTAAATACCATTTGAAATCAGGAGTTGAAGAAACAAAGTGTAGTCAAGGAAGAATCAATGTGAGAACTTCCAGCTGGTAGCAACAGCATAATACATGATGCTGCTGTGACACTGACTGAACCACTACCCTGATGTTTCCCAAAACAAAACCACACACATCAGTTATTCCACAACCTTGTAACTTAAGAATCTGTGTATGACAACATTCCCAGCTGTACTTCCAAAAGGAAAAGCAAATCCTGGGAATGAGCAAATGGGTGGGAGTAAAACAAGCTTTCTCATGTCAAAACCCTGGAATGATGAAACAGAGTCAGCATTCAGAAGAAAAAGGAGCTGCAGGACCAAGGGAAGAGGACATCCACCTAAGACACAAGCTCATCGTGATATAGTTCAGCAGAACAGAAATGAAGGTATAGACAGGAGAGTGGAGGCACAGTTTTCATTGAGCTGGCCTCGAACTGTTGCAGTCTGTCTCTGAAAACGTCTCTGCAAGCTTTCTATTAGGCTTAACCTGTTCCTTTTTGCCTTTGACTCCTGGGACTCTCACACTGCTCAAGTTAGTCCGAGCACAGAATCACAGAAGCATCACAAAATAATCAAAGAGGCAGTCAGAGTGTTATTGCATCAGCATAAAAATACCTTTGCTGGAACTAAATTTAGGACAATATAATAACATAGAACTGGATTTACTCTGTAATTTTTGCTTTCTTGTTTTTTGAAACGAACCACTGGCTTATAACAATTGCTGCCAAATTGCTTGCATTTGCACATGGAGTTATTGCAAGGATCTCTTTCAGGATGGAAAGCTATTTGTCACGAACCATTCATATCTCTCATGTACTACGCCTTGGTAGCATGAAAGCTATCACAAACGCTCTCCCCACCATCCTGGGAACACTCGTGGACTTGCAGAAGACATAAGCACCAGCAGATCTTCAGCAGCTCCAGGAGCTCTGCTCAGGTGGTGCCTGCTCCCTTGGAGCCTTACAGTAATCCTAATGCAGGCTAATTGAGTGAGTTCATACGCTCAATTGGTAAAGCAATACAGGAAAAACAGATCCACTTAATTTTTACTTATAAGCATTTGGCGACGTTCCCTCTAGACCATGAAAAGTGTAAACAGAGTGCCTTGGGGCACGCTTAGATTACTGCAGAACCTCTGCACAGCGATGCATCCTTGAAGAAGCTGGGAATATTTGATTATCTTAGTAATCCTCACTGTTGGGAGGGTTTTTAAAATGTGTTCCAGAGAAAATTCAAGGAAGTGTGCAACTCAGTAGCACTCTGCTGCATTAACTATGCAGCTACCAAATCACACAAAAATGCAGTTTCAGGGTATGGCAGCTCATCAGCTAGTGCTGGAGGGCAGTCTCATCTTCCTGACGACAGAATAGAGGGTTCACAGAAATGACAATAACTTACTCAGCCCCAACCGTGATTTTGCAGAATCTCTGCCGGTTAAGCTGTCTTGCAATCTAGGGGGACAAATAAGTCCCTTACCAAATTCTCTCTCTGGGGAAAAATGGAAACTATTTTCCTTGGAGGCTAGTGCTAAGGTTAAATAAAGTTTGGGGCCTGATCAAGGGTGCTGCTGCTATTCTGATGCCTCCAGTTCACTCACTGCTGCCCGTTCCATGCAATGCTTCAAACACACAGAGGCCAATCTCAATCACTGATGCTCTGAAATTACCTCCCCCACATAATGTCTGTAGCGTATTTAATTTAATTTAGTATGTTCATATAGTGTTAAATCAACCCCAATCAATTTCAAAGGCCAGTCAAAATGTATTTTAATTACTGCTATTTGTTTTACTTCCACGCATGTGATTCCTGCAGTTACTCACATTCCTGAAGGCATTCTGTGTCTGTGCAGTATGACTGTGATTGTCGCAGCTGCAACAGAGAGAAGGAAAAGCATTACAATTAGAAGCAAGCTTTGGTGAGCTTTTACTAAAATAATTATTTAGTACACCATCAGAGCCAAACTTCAAGATAAGGAAGATTATAACCAACCCTTTACTGCATCACATGCATTATTGCATTGGAAAACAGAATAAAACAAATTGAGGTTCCTGAAATCTATTTACATAGCAAAATCAAATTATCTAACCCAAACATTATTGCTTCCATAAGGGCTGTAGCCACTGACTGCTTTTGTTTTAAATTCAAGTTAAAAATCTACAGAAATTGTGGTAGGTGCACATAGCAGAGATACAGACATCATTAGACACACTCTCTACCTACATATGCAATTGAGGATTTTTAATTGGTAGGTGTTATTACTACTATTTAAATGAAGTATCACTATAATACTTGGTGGTTATGTAATAATAAATGATCAGATAATGATCATTGATCATGATAATAAATGATAATGATTATGCAAAAAGGAGCAGAATTAAGGTTTCACAGTTAATCAGCAATTACTATTTTTTTCTACCTAAGAACCATTTGTAAAAGCAGGTTTCAAAATGCATTTTTACTGTTTTTTCCTTTTCTTTATTGATGGGTAAACATTACAACATTTTTACTATGTTTAACCATAATGACTTTGCATTTACAGACAAAGTAAGCTCACTGATTGCAAGAAAAGTCAACACTGGATATCTTGCACTTACATATATCTATTTTGTAGGTGACAGAGGGAAAAAAAAAAGGGAAAAAAAGGTGAGGAAGAAAGTGTGTCATATTCTTTCTCAGAAACAGAGAGGTTACATGGATGTGATTTAGTTTGTTTTATTATGGAATTAGGTTTTACTTCCTGCTTAGGTAAACTATGCTGATTAATAATGAACGTTGTAAGAAGTGCAGAATTGGTTAGAAGTCTTGCTTAGAACTGCCACTTGAACAAACCCCTTGAACTGGCATAGCTGATATACTCATTTGCTGTATATATTCATAATATCATACATGGCACAAAAAACTGCAGAGACTAACACAGAAACAGCTGAACAACTGTAGGAAAAAGATGCTTTTGTCTGGAAAAAAATATACCTTTTCCTTTATGTATATTTATCGGCAAAGACTGACACATTTGAGAAAGAAAAAAGAAAAGTAATTAGGGATTGACATGCTGCATTCTTTCATTCTTTGACTAATATATTACAGTAATTTATTAAGACTACCATGAGATTCCTTAGGAAGTACTAGGAAGGCTGGATTTAACCTTTTGGTTAACCTTTCAGGAAACTTAAGTAAAAGTCCTACTTACCTCATCCAAAAGAAAAAAAAAACTTTCCAACTGTATATTTCATGGCCTTCTTTCATAATAATAGAACCTCACTTTATTTTCAAACTAAAAGTCATTTTAGAGAGGAGGTTTTAAATTAGCAGATACTAGTACTTTGGAAGATCTGATCTTGAGAGATGGCTGCACTGGGAACACTGGATATTGCTTTTTCTTCATTTTAAAGAGATCAACAGCACAATTATCTTCTGATCGCAAATTAAGCCCTGTGAAGGGCTTAATTCATTACCCAGCATGATATGGTTTCCAGGTACCCACCACTACTGAAGGATGCCTGAGTTACAAGGAGCAATAAGCACATGACCAGAAACATAACACAGGAGAGCAGCAATTTAACACCAGCTAATCCTGTCCCAAAGGTGCCGGTGCTCACACACCTTACCTTGCCAGCACAGAAGGCAATGCTGCCTAGAGCAGTTCCAACCACAATATTATTTATCTCCTGTTCTCTATGTTTCACCATAACCAAACCCAACTTTTTAAAACCATGCAATTAGCATTTCTATACAAGCCATCTCAAAAAGGGTACGCACACTTTTGTGGCTGTTAACACCTTGTTCTACCTACCACATTGGTTTCCATTACCACAAAGGTAGCTTCAACCACAAAACAAATGTTGGAGCTTAGACTTTGACTGAAAGCAGTACATTAACCACCAGCAAAACTTTGACTGAAAGGAGCACAGTAACCACCAGCAAAGCTTGTTTAGCAGCAACAGAAAGAGGCTCTGGCTACACTTTTCCATGAAGAGTGGTCGGAGGGAGGATCATGATCACAACATGCTTCTTTATTCACCTGCCTTTTGCCCAATTTCCTCATGTGAAGCCTTAACAGCATTTGTCTGCAGATGTTGATGCAGTAAGCTGTCTCACTAAGGCACAGAAGTACTAAATCCCTGAATTTTTGTGTGCCCAGAGTGTTTTGCTTAAAGGCTTGTTGTCTGTAAGATGCAGAGTTTTATCCCATGGGTATCTTTGGTGGCTTCTGAAAAGACAAGGCTTTGAGGCTCTCAAATAAAAGCACTACTGGAAACATCAGTGAGGGAAATACGTCAGCAAACCAGCAGTCGTAGGAAAAATACCATTCGGAGTAGCTCTACAGATCTCTGCTGAAAAATGCTGGTAAATGAGATACCCTGCCAATACAAAAAAAAAAAACAAAAACGTCGGCTAGTCGGCTTATTTATGGAGGAACAATGTACAGAGGAACTTTTATGCGGTACAGAGTCATCAGATAATGTGGCAGTGCTTTTCGGGGGCCTTAGACATTAAATATTCCATTATTTTTACAGGGATTTAGAAGCTAACTGCACAACACAGGATTGGAAACTTCAAATTACCTTGTGAAATAGGTATTTGGAAGAGAAAAGTATGATAAAAATGTATCCTCAATTTGTAACTCATATGAAATTCATCTGAACTGAAAACAATATGTAATCACATAATTATGCAAACTTACAGATACTCACCTATAAGCATCACACCTCAAAATCTCTGCTACAATCATATCCAGCACTAAAGATATTTCTTGGAAAGTGTTCTAGTTAATTTGTGAATTTCTTATTACAGCTGCTTGTGTTGCAAGAAGTTTTGATCAGCATGTGACCCCTCTCTGTATGTTCTTCTCCTGCTGCCTTCACCTCCTGCCCACGAGGGCCTGCAAAACTTCACTACTGGCGAGCACGAGCTCTAGGAGAGCTGCTCAAGCCAGAGAGCTGTGCAGCAGATTTGTTTAAGACAAGCCAGGGACAGGCTACACGTTGCTCTCCTGGGATGAGCCACAGCCGACAACTGAAAGTGAGCAGCAGTAAAAACAGGTTTTACTCAATGTGCACAGGTGAGCTACGTTCTAGCTTGCTGTAACCCAATGCAAATCTGATCCCTTGTGCTCATTAAATTAGTCAAAAGGAGGAAAAAAAATATTCTGGCACGTATATGAGAAGCTTACGCAAGCTGAATAGTTGGGAAAGTTAACACCTTTTGCTGGAACCAGAACTCTCCTTCTACCAAGGCGATCTCTTTGCTGATAACTACACACTTACGGGACACAGCAGCTGCTGGGAAAAACCTCAACATGGGACATTGCAATTGGCAGGTAAATCAGGAAAAAAAAAAAAGCAGAATTATGAGGAGGGACTGGAAATAAACACTCCTTCATGCCTAGGTTTGCTCTTCTCAGGGGGACGGGGAGCTTGGATGAAATTTTGTGGGATAATAATAGGAAAAAGTTGAACTAGTATTTCCCTTTTCAAAAAATTCTTTCAGAAGACTTTTCAAATGCACAGAATTTCTCAGTTTAACAGTTGCCTAGTGGCTAAGACCGAGTTTGAGATCATCCCAGAACTGCTTGAGTTTGGAGTATGTCACTTTTGGTGGGAGGAGAATTGGAAATTAGAGAGAATTCTTAGAATAGGTTGATCTGAAATAGTCTGATGTACTTGGAGGCATTAAATACTGCTTTTCTGGAGATACATCTCTCTTACATACACTCAAAAATATAAATTTACTTAAGATTAATATTTGACTGACTGATTGACACAAAGTAGTAACAGCTTTTCATGTTCTTCAGTATATTTTGCATCAGGCCCTTAAAAGAACACAGAAATTAAGGGAAACATCTGGATCTATGCAACAAAAGAGAGAAAAGGTTAAAAAAGCTTTCAAAAGTATTCATCAAAATTATTTTTTTCCATTTAAATTAGAAGTTTTATGTCTGAATTTTAACAATGTCTGTGCAGTTTGTCATCCAAATACAACAAATGTTTTGGTGTGTGAGCCAAAAAAATGAACTAAATCATCGTTTATTGTCCAAAATGAAGTAAGTAGAAGTTGTAAACAGCATGAAAGCTAAGGAGGAAATAAGCACTTCAAAATTTTCAGTTTTAACGTAGTGCAGACTTGCAGGCAATACAAGTAAAAATAATTATTATAAATATGCATACACAATTTAAAATACAAATCTGAACTTTCATTCCCTGAGAGGTACATCTAAAATCCCAAGTAGTTTAAATTAATATCATTTAAACTAACAACCCACACCACACAGGAAAACTGGGTCAATATTACCATTTGGTTTATCTGGAGCCCCTGCTAAGACAGTTCCTGGAACTGAAAGGCACCAGTGGCTGAATTACAGCAAATCAGTGTCCATTTACTGAAAAGTCTTGAACATCAAGCCAACATAATGCTAAGAAATAAAAGCAATAGAAGTACTTTAACAGATCAGAGAGAAAAGGGCTTTTCCTCAGTCTTTGCCCATGGTACTCACTTTAGTACCCCCAAAAAGACACAGGTCTAACCCACCCTAACACAGCAGGGTTACTTGGCAGTGTCAGAGCTAGGGATCCCGCTCCTTTGACCCGCTCTATGAGATGGGGTTTTAATCCGTGCTCTTGGAGGCAGCAGCACCTCCCAGCACATGTAGGTGACACGGGGCTCAGCCTGCAGGGCCTCACCAGGCCCTGCACGACTCCTAGCACTGAGACCACGATGTCTCCCCTGCCGCGAGCCCGGCAGATTCGGCAACAGTAACGGGGGCTGGTTGCCAACCTCTGGAGACATTTTTGTAAAGTCACTGTATTTAGAAGAGTCTCTTCACTTTTTTCTTTTTTTTTCCTGAAGTGGAAATCTAATATACAGGCACACAA